CCACAACAAAAAACATTACAGTTGTACAGAATTATAAGTTACGTAAAAGTAAGTCCGTAGTAAAATTCTATGAATATTACCTATAGTCTTTGCTGATAGTATCTAAGCTTGCAATGAGTGACATAAAAAAAATGAGGACGGTAAAAATATAAAAAGTAGTGAAAAATTATGAGTTTCCTGATAAACTCAGAATCTTAAGTCCCTCCTCTCCCCCAAATAGCGTCTACCACAGGAATTCTCATTCTAGGCAAATGATGTAGAGCTCGGGCTGTTTTTATTTTGTAGCAAACATCTCTGCCGAGCACAGAGCCGGCTTTCTGAATTTCTGGTGCTTAATAGAACTTTAAAATCCGAAAAATCCTTGGAAGGTTTCTCAGAAATCCTCATTTCTATAAAAAATAGAAGCATAATTAAAAAATCGAACTGTATCAACTCCTACCTATAGGTGTTATCTTCAAATCAATAAAAAGAAAAACTTTCTCCGATGTATCGTTACCAAGAATTCCTGTGCGTGGCGAAAGCCCTGAAGCTAAAAAACAGTCTTAAGAAAAACGCAAAATAAGTTCTGATTCTGTTAAATGCATTTTACTTAAAAACTGTTCGATCGCTAAATAATTTGTTAATATTTTGCTACCGGTTATCGGTCATCGTGCCTTAATAAAGTAATTATTCGCAAATAGATTTAGTAGATATTTTTCATGTTTTTTCAGTTTGCACAGGATAAATGATTAAAAGTTTGTCGAACATTGCTGGAGAAGAAGAAGAACAAAAAGAAATCAAAAATGTTGATTTGTCAACATCAGTAGTTGATGAAATAAGTATTTATAATATACACACCAAATTTCAGCATAACATTATCTTATTTTGGATATCGGTTACGGTTATACTTTCCCCTTTTGCCGACACTATATTTTTACCAGCAATACATACTATAGCACTAGATTTGAAAACAAATGATGAACTTGTTACTCTTACTGTGTCTGTATCTCTGATTTCTAATGGTATCAGTTGTCTTATATGGGGTGTCATTTCTGATCGATATGGTCGAAACATAACAATGCGAATTGGTTTAGCATTATTTATTATATTTTCGATTATTTGTGGTTGTGCACCAAACATTACAGTTTTAATTATATTCCGTGTACTACAAGGCGCTACGGTATCCGTCACAGTGATTGTTGGACAAGGTGTGATAGCCGATATTTATCCTCCTGGTGAACGTGGATGGGCTACAGGTATTTTTTTTGTACCAGTTTTGGTAGGAGCCGTAGGGGGACCTGCAATTGGTGGTCCACTAACATATTTTTTTGGTTGGAGAAGTACGTTTATTTTATTAGCTATAATTTCAATTTTTATACTAGTAGCTCATGTGTTAATTATTCCGGAAACCCATCAGTATAAAGTTCTTGTGAAATACTCAGAAAAGACAATAATTGAAAGTAGAGATATTTCAGAGCCGAGACTTGTTAAACCATGGTTACCGTTAATCTATTTAACTGATTTAACAATTCTACTGTATATAGTATCTGCAACCGTACCGTTTGCATTCATGATGACTGATCAAACTTTGTTAACAACTTTATTAGCCCAAAAGCCTTACTCCTTTAATGAAATACAAACTGGTGTATCATTACTTCCCCTAGGTCTGGCTGCGATTATTGGGTGCTTCCTCGGAGGGGCATTATCTGACAAAGCAAATCATTACTATACAAATAATATACCAGAAGGTCGATTAGTACCAGGACTTATAGGTCTTATTTTGGTTCCATTTGGACTCGCCATGTATGGCTGGAGCTTTTATTTTAGATTAAACGCTATTTTGCCAATTCTAAGTGCCACTATAGTAGCATTCGGACAATCCATATATCGTCCAGGAGTTTCTTCATATTTAACCGTGACAAAGCAACAACATGCAGCAACTATTGTCTCTGTAAATACTTTCTTAAATCATTCTATCGCAGGGATATCCATTTTAGTAGCGGTACTCATTTATCCTACAATTAATATAGGCATGTTTTTTACAATTCTATCTGGTATTAATATAGCTGCCATTATACCAGCGTGTGCATTAACAGTTACAAGAATACGGTCGTATAATAAAAACTATCAGCCCATATGATTTTTGCAAATTAATTTTCTCTATCAAAGACAACAAGTAGCATTCAGTAGCCCTTGGCTACTTTTGCAGTGAATTTTGTCTGAACATAAACCAAGACATACTGGGGAAAAGAATCGATACTTTCCTTTTCAGAAATTTCTATAGGATTAAGTTTTTAATGCGGAGCGAAGCAAAAGCATTCTAGTGATAAATACCGACTTTTTCCATTTTTGAGCCTTGTCCGAAGCTTCATTCAAATATTAGAGAGCAGAGAAGGAGGTCGTTTGAAAGCTTGGGACTCAGAATTTATTCAACAAAAAAAGGAAAAACGTAAAGGCCTTACGAGGAAAGGTCCCCAAGTGTGCAATCGCTTTTTGCTTGAAACCTAGTGGACAATAGGTAATCGACAGCGCTAAATCCGAATCTGACATCGGTTTGTGCTGCTAGGCCTCCAGAGATCGGGTTTCTAGCAAATCAGGTTTTCAGGCTCAAAAACGTTTTTCGAAAAACAAGATTTTCCTGATGCTACCATAAGAAAGAGCACATCAAAAAACCTATGTAAAACTAGTTTTTAAAGTAGACAAGTTAGGAAATTAATCAAGATAGTTTTACTACTTAACCATATGAGAACTACCCACTTTTTCCTCGCAACGATTCAAGCCGGAAGACCGCGATATTGGCATGTCGGGAAACGGCGTTCACCTAAGTTTGAGCTTGAAGGCAGACAAAGAGTTTCAATCGAAATTTTTGTCTCCTCAGGTGTTTTGCCTAAAATTTTGGACAAAAACGTTTTTTTCTCGAAACACATCGAATTATATATCATTCGACGCAGTCTTTTACGCAGATTCCAAATATCACATTGGTTTGGCATAAAAATGCTGCTGAACGTTTAAAAATTAAGTTTTTCACTTTATCCGTTCTGCATATATAAGTTCGTCGTCATCACTGTGAAAAAGAGAAAATATATTTTTTTCTCTCTCTTTTCTCTCTTCCCATATGATAAAACACGTCCTTATTTTTCTGGCGTGTCATCGATATCAGAACATTTAGTCGTTTTTTATATTTTGTGATTTCAGTGAGAAAAGGTGTCTCTCAATCATATACTGATAATCTACCACTATACGTCAAATTTTAAGCGCTACCCGAATTTGAATGTTTGGCACTCGTCATCGGGTTGGTGCTAAACATGCTAATAAATCCCGTCCTATCATCATTCGCTTTCATTCGCGTCCTTTTCGTCCACTGATTTTGACATCGTTAACTAAATTGAAAGGACAAAAACTAGGGATAATCGTGCTTGAAGATTTAACAAAAAAAATGTTAAACTTGTATTGCAAAACAGGTGATGGTCTTGATGATATTGAAAAACATAGAGTAGTCACACGACAAGGTCGAGTTTGTATTAGAAATGCTGATAAATCTTTAACGTTAGTTAAAGATCATGAGCCGTTCCCAACATGTGAGTGAACCTGTTTTTTCTCTTTATTTTTGCATGTTTGCCATATTGATTTTGTTACTGTATGTAGTTTCGCGTTTTATTGTTCTGTCGGTTCTTTCACATACATGCCAGTTATCACATATTTATCACGTTCATCCTATTAAGCACATTCCCTCTATTCACCGCACTTATACATTCTTCGTCTTGTATTCTTTTTTTCTTCTTTGGTCGCTCGCTGGTAATGGTTTATTATTTCATATCAAACTATTCACTAAACGGTAGTAACAAACACGGCTACTGACTTGAGAATCTCATCAATGAACATAAGAAGTTTGACTTCTCAAATTGATAGGATTCGCGCTTATGTGACATTAACTCAGCTTATTATGCTTTCATTAACTGACACATTGATTGAGCACACAGTCGAGGATGTTGAGATCGACTTGTCTGGTTATCACCATCTTTACGATTGAACCGTAATCGGCGTGGCGGAGGATATGCGGTTTGTGTGAGGAATGATTTTCATTGTGTTTGTATCAATCAATTTGATGCCCCCTTATGGGAGATTCATTGTATTAGGCTCAGTCTTACTCCTTTGCGAGTATTAATTTTTACAATTTATAGCCCTGCTAACCCTGTCATTCAACTATTTCTTGATCATATCGATACTGTTCTGTCTAAAATAACTCAGTCGAAATATAAAACGGATCTGATTTCCATTCTACCATCTTATTCGTAATTACAATAACCTTGATGATAAGCTGGAAGCATTCGAAGAAATTCTTCTTCGGTAAATAAATAAATTAATTCCACGTAAGATAATAACATTGACATCTCGTGGTAAACGGACGGAGGCTGATAAGATCATTTTGCATCCCCCAATATTTCTGAAAAAGAATTATATATTCGGGATCAGCATGAAATTCTAAATGAAATGACGTATTTGATCCACTCGAGAATTGACCCGATTTTTTCGAAAATGTTTTGCCCCTATGACCCCCTTGGAACATCGAAAAATGTGTTTGATCCGAATTTTTTGAAACATACATTGTCCGATACAGAATTTAATGCTGATTACAAATATAAGGTCAAACATCTGGAAAGAGAAGTCCTGATCAAAAAAACTAAGTTTCACTTACAGACGGTGGTCGTGACTTAATTGAATTAATGTCGCACTAGCATTCTAGTACATGATTTGGAAGCCTCATAAACCAGCTAAATATAATCAGGAACATGTGGACTTTCAGAATAAGTTGTTTAAACAGCTCAAAAGGCTGATTTTCATACTGAAAATCCAATTCGAAAGCAAAAAGCTTCAAATTCCCTGGATTACATTTCGTAATTTTTCTACCACGGTCGAACGGAAACGAATGCCGATGCGAAACTTCCATGGAATATACAGCTTTGAATGCTCTATCGAATGAGACCACTCTGAAAGAAAACTAGACTATATTTTTTTCAAACACCGGTTTTTGAGCAAAACATTTTCTAGAAAACGTCTGAAATCTTTTTAAATATGCAGCATCATATTCTGAGTAAAATGATGCATTACTCAAATTTCTGAGACACATGGTAAAGGAACTGCAGTGTTCGAGCTCTACTCAACAAAAAGTGTAGTGAAAAATTTTTATTTTTCTAGTTTTTATTTCTCGATTTATGTGCATACGTTTGACATCTTTTCCATGGCAATTCTTCTTTGTATATAGTTTCGGGTCACTTTGAGTCGACCAACTGTCACTGAATAACAGATACTTACGTTCGATGAATGGCAACAGACAGAGATCACGCCAACGTTTGACTAATGACACTGTTAACTTGCCGCTTGATGAACATGTAATGACTACATTAGTGTGGTAAAAAGGATGGTTTTTCGCTAGTTCACCCATCCTACCTTGATTCTCTTGTAGAGAAAGATAAACTGGCTCAACAACTTCTCCATGAAGTGAGATTCTTATTTGTAACGAATATGAATGAATTGTTGCATTTTTAGACGCTACAGCCTGGTATGTTGTCTTTTCTTCAGCGAATGACAGAGTCCTGTTAGAATGAATCTCCTTCTGTACACCTACCTAGTCTGTATTAAGTATCTGTGTAGCAGAATAATCTGATATCAGCATCTTTTCATTTTTCATTTCTTTCTCGACTATCTGCTTCATGTCGTGTTACGAAATTCGTTATGTGACATGGAACAACACAAATCCAATTCGAAGGCAAAAAGCTTCGAATTCCCTGTATTACATTTCGTAATTTTTCTGCCACGGTCAAACGAAAACCAATGCCTATGCGAAACTTCCATTCAGTCACCAGACCTTAAAAACTGGTTTGAAACATCGTAAACCGTGATTGAGAGCAGTCAGCAGGGAAATACGAAGACTTTCTATTCGGGAAAAGAACCAGAAGCAAAAGCCGGTACCAGCTGCAATCTTGCTCATTTGTAAGCAACGTTTTAAAACAGTGTGAATGTTATTTGTTGTGAACAACAACGATTATATGGTGGAGTATTATATCTATATTAGCGTGATTATATTTAACATTTTTAAAAATAAATCGGACGGCGACAAACCATAAAAATGAAGTTCCTTTTCTCTAGTGTTTTTTCTTTTTATAGTGATATATGTGAAACGTCAAGTAAATAAAATGAAGTTTCGGTGTTTAAATCTTCAAATAAAAAATTAAAAGGAAAAATTTAGTTTTTTAACAATTCCTTTTGCAACCGAATGTCGTATCGATGTTTGTATTTGTTTTTGTATGAACATGAATGTTTTGTATCAATTTGTGTTAAAAATGTTCTCAAAAATACTTCATCATCGAGTTTTTTACATATCGTAACATTTGTCAAATGATTTTTGTTATCCTTGACTTCTTGTCCAAAATATTTTGAACCAGAAAAAGGTGATGAAACAATTTTAACATGTTGGTTTGAATCAAATTCTGTACAAAAAGATGGTTTTTCACCATGTTGCAATTGAATCATCAATTGTGCTGTACTTGGATCCCACCAATATAAACGTTCTTCGGGTTCATATAAACATTTGGCAAAACTTGTTATAAAATCATAAACAAATTTTGTCAATGTAATATTGTATTGTTTGAGAAAATGTTTCAATTGTGTTGTGTTGTATGGCACTTGATGCTGAATTTCGGACGGCATCATAACAATCCGCGAAATCCCAGCAGCGAAAACACGTTGTACTGCAAGCAGATCAAGAAATACATTTGGATTAACATCATCAACATCAGCAATGTTCGTTGCATTAAATATATTTGGCAGTATGTGTTGTTTAATACGTCGACGTAAAAGATCACCTGCACCTTAAAAGGACACAGACTTTGCATGAACATAGAATTATCTTTTTAGTTCGGTCTAATGACTTACTTGAAAAATAGAGTGTACCGATTTTCGATACAATGGTTCGATCACGTGTAATAGCTTCAGCTATATTAGTAAGTGTACCAAGAACGAGAATGTCAACGGGATGTTCGGCTCTCTTCAGAATATATATAATCAATTCAACAGCATTAAATGGAGATGCTTCAACACCGGGATTAATCGATGTATTTAAACATTTAAAATACTGATCAATGGCCGTGATCAGACTCATCGGAACACCGTAACCAGTTAATGGTAACGACGGAGCACTAAAACAAAACATATCGTTAGTCACCAAGGGTGAGGAAACCTCTTTCCTGAAGAAGTAACATACTTTTGCCCATGTGCGACCGGTACACCATATTGGCAATTGAGTTTGCTCAATAATGTTAATACAACTGGTGCTGAATACAGTGGTGAACTAGAAAGAGACCGACAGTTGTTCAGAACCAGAAACATTTTTATACACATACGTAAAAGCATTTCCAACTGTTGTTATTGCCATAATTTCGATCGTTGGAATCTAAAATACAAGAGAAAATAGAAGAGATCACTCGATAGAGATCACTTGGACTGTGATACGCACATTCATCAGATAAGATATAGCAAACAAGTCATCCACATCTGCGTCAGTATCAATAATAACCGGTTGACGATAACTGTGACTGATTGTTGTTACTCCTAAGATAATAATAACTAATTGTGCTGTATTCATCTTCCTTTCTCACTCTACTCTTTGGTTTTGTGTTAATCTCCCAATTACTATTGATGCCTTTACTCAAGCTAAATATGAAATAAATATGTATATATGTGATACTGTTCCTGTCTGATTACAAACCTATGAAAAATTAATAAACTCAGTCAACCATCACACTAAACAGTTGCTAAAGGGGAAACCAGTTTTGACTCAAAATTTGTCAAAATTCACATAAAATGGAGGTCGATATATTGACTGCCTATACATTATGACTTTTATATATGTAGGGTAGGAAGAGGAACGCAAAACACAAATAATAATAAAATGAAACCTCAAAACGAAGTTAAAAGATGTTCGTTATCGTATTCGCCGTGAAGTTTTACATCCACCACGAGACTTTACCGTCATTTGGAGCAGGGCGGAGCAAACACATAATTTTCTAATGATTGGTATACGCATCACGTTTTGTAGTTTGTAAATATTATACCGCTTTTCTGTGGAGAAAACAAAAGAAAGTTTTATGGTTTTGTCAAAGGTACTTTTTTTTGTGCAAAGTTTACTACACTATTTTTTTTATCTCTCTCTCATTTTTTCAGCGTCTGCTTTTTTGGAATTAGTTAATTTTTCTGACAGACAAAAACTTTTAAAAAAAATGTGTGCACGTAACTTTGTAGAGCTTTGAAAGGCGATTCGAATGAGATGTGAAAAAAAAAGTTCTAGGATAAAA